TTTCTTCTAGCACACCGAAATAAATATAGATAGACATTACTAAATAGATAGACACGGACACGCAGAAATAGATAAAACAAAAAAAACAGAAAAGATGCAAAGAAGTAGAGACGAACGACAGACATGGACACATAAAGACGGAATAAATAGATACGGACACACGGAAACAGATTGCGAGACACAAAGCAAGGCAAAGATACGGAAATACCCGGTACGAAATTTTCGGCAACCGTCTTGCTCAGTCTACCCATTTTTGTCTTTGTGAATACAATCGTGCATATCTATTTATAATTGTTAAATTGGAATATCTTTTTCCCCAACAGCTGCAAGCTTTGGGTCTCAGCCTAGATAGGCTCCGGGGTGGTCCGGGGCGGCCCTAAGGTAAGATTCCACGAGGGTTCCACCAGGATTTCACCAGGGTTCCACGAGGTTCTACGAGGGCTGCGGGGTGGTGCGAGCACTAAAAAATAGCACCGCATGCTGTTGGGGAAATCACCTAAGCGAATTTTTATATTCTGATTCTATTACTTTCCTGCCATGGGTTTCATCTCGCACGTTGCTAGAAACCAACGGGCCCCCGCTAATTTAATTATATATATATGAGATTTTAATTAAAACATATATAAATATAATACGGTGATTATATTTCCTAGCCGATATAAATCTCGGACGGCTTTCCGACGGCGTTCTCTCTCATATTAACATTCCGTGGTTTTTGAAAACTGTCCGACGGCTTTCCGGCGGCTTCCCGACGTTTCTGACGGCTTCCCGACGTTGCCGACGGCTGCCCGACAGCTTCCTGACGTTGCCGATGGCTTCCCGACGTTTCCAACGGCTTCCCGACGTTTCCGATGGCTTCTCGACGTTTCCGACGACTTCCTGATATTTCCGATGGCTGCCCGACGTTTTCGTTTCCGACGGCTTCCCGACGTTTCCGATAGCTTTCCGATGCTCGGGCCCTCGCGGGCCCTCGGTTTGACTAGTTTTGAGGGTTTAAGCGTTAGCTTCCCGATATGTTTCCGACGCCAGTACTTGACGCACGCCGTTCTAATCGGCACTCAACTAGCCCATAAATACAAATTATGATTTTACATCATTGCAAGCCAATAATAGCGATAGCGCATAATTAAAAGAATTTTGAACGGCTTATGGACCTGTTAGACACACACCCATACAGACAGACAGACAGACACAGACAAACAAACAGACAAAGAAACAGATACCAGAGACAAAGAAACAAACAGAGACCAACAAAAAGACTAACAAAGAGAGACAAAAAAACCGAAGACCAACAAAAAAAAAAAGACAGAGAAAAAACCCGACAGAGAGACAGAGACAAAAAGGGACACGCCTCCGGCGCAGCGCGCCGGATTCTATCGCCGACATGCCATAGGCTTTGCCTACGCACGTATACGCGTCCGACTCCGAGCCCGAGAGTTGTGATGCAGACGGGCTGCAAGAACGCGCGCGCGAGCTCTCGGCTGCGCGTGCCCCAGTTGCACGCGGCCGCTGGCCGCTTGTCCTCTGGCGTCCTCGCGCAGCGGAGCGAGCCAGTGGGAAACGGTTTGTCACGCGCTTGTCTCGGCGCTGCCCCGCCACTCTCCTTGCCCTCCACGACGGCTGTATTCTGGCCCGCGGTCAGGAGGTGGTTGCAGGTGTTCGGCGGCCCTCTTTGGACTAGGCACCCCAGGTCGCTACCGGCCCGGATTGGATTAGAAGTTTAGATCGGCATTTTGGAGGTTAGGGGGTGGTTTCCCATTCAACTTCAACATGATCCAGGCGTTCAACCCCCAAACCACCAATCCAAACCAGCAATTAGGGGGTAAGTTGAGGCGGGTGCCAAAAAAGGGCCGAGCTCTCAGGGGCCAAGGGCACTAGCATATTTTATCATTTTATATATATCAAAAAATGTACACTCGTCGCATGCGAAACGCATGCTACTGTTCTCCAAACACAGGTCGCGAGACGCACTGAGGGCCGGGCTAGTCGCGATAAGGTCACGCCAAAGAGTCATGTGAAAGGCGGTCGCCTGAGCAAGGTGAGAACGGATCCGCGGGCTGTTGGCCTCAAAAGATCCATCCACACACGCAGTTGTTGTAAGCGCAAGCGAAAACGCGATCGAAAAGAAAACATGATGGGCGCAAGCAAAGCCGAACTGATTTCGCCTAAAACATTTGGAAAAATACCACTGGTCGCAACAATCGGCCGCGGCTCACAGCTTCTCGCATCGCCAAACTCTCGGAAGATGGGCCAAGATTTCAGCCAAAACTGCTATAGACAGGCAGATATATGCCCCGACTCTTTATCTGGAAGACACAACGATTTTGTTCAAAGGCCCGGACCTTTTTTCCGAAGTGTCCCGGATATTTCGATAGTCGACCTCCCGACTATTTTGCCGAAATATTCCGGATATTTCGACGACAGCATTTCCCGAAATATTTGGAATATTTCGGGAAAATGGTCCCCAACATATTCGGAATATTTCGAGAAAATGGTGGGTGGCTGCGATTCCCGGACCGCTTTCCCGAAAATCTGGAATATTTCGGGAAATTGGTCCTTACAAAAAATGAAGCCACTATGTCTTTCGTACATATGCCGGGGTAGCCCGGACAGATTTGGGCAAGCGGTCCATAGGAAATGTGAAACGGTTATATCTTCCAAGGGCAGTCCAAACCAATTTTTCCGGAAAAGCGGTCCGGGAAAACGCGCGCAAGTGCGACGAGCAAGTTTCACGGTTTTGTTTTATAGAGTAAAAATAGATTATAAAATGTATAATTTATTTATAATATATATATATATATGGTCAGGTCCCCCCCATAAACTACCTTTTGTTCTTTCTTCATAAAAGATTGCAAAAACACTGTGTTTTTCCATAATTTTTAGCTTTCTCGCCAATAAAAACAATAAAATATACAAAACGGATTCCGTTTTAGTATGCCTTCTTACAGACATACTTCAAAATATGAAAAATAGCAAAAAACACGGTGTTTTTTACGTTTTTTTCCAATCCTACCATTACGAGTGACAAAAAACCTCCCTTTTTTAGCATTTTTTAATATTTTCAATACTTTAAAATTTATATGTTTCCCTTACTTGAATTTCAATACTTGTTATTAACGATAATTAAACCAAATTAAACAAATAATTCACACACACATAAGATAATTGCTTTACAATATATATTTCAAACAAATTAAACTAATATATATATAGAATTCTATATAATATTCGAGTTAATATAAAAATACAATTACACAAAGACATAAAGTAAGAATAAATTCCTTTTTCCCAAATTAATAATTTGCTAAATTTCAATATCAAATAAAAATAAAAAAACACATAATAATAGAATTACTACTAACGCATTAAGACTGCCAAAACATATTTTACGCACTATTTTTATATTAAACAATTGCAGTTTAAGCTAAAACTACCAAAATAAGCTTTATATACTCCAATATGATTTTAAATGCACTCGTGCACACCAATATAATAATCATAACAAATCCTTCAATGTTAAGCTTAAATTCTGTTTAATTAGAATTTACATAACATTAAGTGTCCAATCAATTCATTTCAGAGTCACAAAGAATGTATCACCCCCCTTCTAATCAAAAAACCTCAATTCTAATCAAAAACCTGAATATTTCAAAGAGGGGGGTAATATATATATATATAATATTACTTCAATCTTAAAACCAATAATATAAATATTTATTAATTATAATTACATTAATTATTTTTATATTTTCCCAATTAAATTCAATTATTCTATATATCTATATGTTTTAATATTCTACGAGATCGAACTCTAAAACTACAATCTTCTCATCCGGACGACAACGAGCAACGATGTCTTAAACTTAAAAGAAACGACCTTGTTGAGGGTTGTTTCCTTTGCTATTCCTGTATAACAAACCCTGCTTGGTGCCCACAAAGAGACGCACCCGTGTAAGTCGAAGTCCAAAGGAATATTCAGCCTCTCCAACACAGATACAATCTGAAAACTTGCAGCGGCTGTACCAGTTGCCAGTGACCCGGGTTGGAAAAGCCTCAGAACTCTCAGACAAGACCCAAAAGCTGGACTCCCACTTGAACAACAGTGAGCAGCATTGTAGCATACTGCGTGTCCAGGGACCCTGAACAACTGGGAAAGTGTACGACTTTCCTGCAGAAAGCCTTCGGCTATGGCAGGATGGCAGGAGAACTAATCGATCGACGCCGCGCGTCGATTCGGATCCCTTGGGGAAGTAACAACTCTCATGCGGTTGTCTCCTTCCTCCATTACATTTGGCAAGATTCATGCAAATAGTTTGATGATCAAGGATACCCAGAGGTCCAAGTTTTTGACTTGGGAAGGGCAAGCAAACCTCAGAATCAGAAGGTATGAACAGATATTGAGCTCAAGTTTGGCCGCTCCGCGGAAAGCAGCTTTCTACAATTCCGGGAGTCCAAAGATTCGGCTGAGAAAAACGATCTAGAATAGTGCACCCCAGTATCATCAAAGAGGGCCTAACATGAAGAGGTCGACCCAGAAAGAACATACAACTTCCACTTCCAGTTTGGCTAACTTTGAGGAAGCGCGAAAACCTCAATCTGCCTGGACTTTGACAGCTGCTTCGGAGGCAACCGCCACTAAATAACACACTCGCCGCGCTAAAAGCCATGGGTCCAAGATTCTGGCTAACGACAAGAACCGCGGGTGGGATGGACTTGTGGCCATGAAGCCATGAAGGAGAAACAAGATGAACTCGACTTCCACTTGCTTGGACCCAACCTTCGCTCGGCGCTAGCGGGGCTCAACAAAAACAAACCACCCGATAAACTAAACATCATGCCGGCGGTCCTATTGCAACTCCCCTGCAGAGAAAACACGGAGCCTCAAAAGGCCATGGAAATCCTGCATCACTTGCTTCTTTTCAGGTGATGTTGAAGGAACCCAAAAGGCCATGAATGTAGAATCCCAGTTGGGGACTCGCTTCACGCGCCCTTCGTGGTGATCACATTGAGAAGGTGGTGGGGTCGAAGGCTTCGGTCAGAGAGTGTCCGGAACCGTAATGGCTCGACACCAGCTCCGCGGGGTCGTTCACTCCTGTTTGGGGCCACCGACCATGCCCCAAACAGGGGGCAAATAGGAACATGGCTCATATTCCGTGAGTCAAAAGAAGAACTCTTTTGCATGACAAATCCAAATGAGTCGGACCATGACTGATTTCTATGCTCCTGAAACGTCCTTCCCAAACAGGGTTTCTGTTTGCAATTATTTTTTCCGATAAAACAAGGAATTTCCCTGGAACACCACAATAAAACAATGGCGTGATGCATTGCTTGTTGGCACTCAAGCACCGCCCGCGTTCAACGTCACAGCAAGGGCTGTAAAGCAATCAAGAACTCCCTCGGGCTTTTCGCACAGCTTTAGCAGTGCTGAGTTGAAAGTGTTTGATAGTTGGCTGGCGTGAGTACAGCGCTGAGCGGGTGCACTTCAACTTGCGCTTGCCATCTAGCTGGTTCTTGACCCACGGCGGATTATGAGCCGTGTTCCAACTAAACGGTCAAAGGTTCGGCTTTGGGCAAGTGAGTAGAAGGGGCAAAAGAACTGCCAATAGTTTCTCTTCATAAAAAGGTCTAATGCAGTTTCTCTTTCATATCCAATGTACCCCCATAACCCTATTCAAATTATTGAGCCACTTCTGCTACTCTGTTTCCAAGCAGTGAAGTGCTTGCCCCAGAGGAAAGCACTACCAGAAGGGCCTCAGAATGAGATGGTGGGATACTGTGAAACCAAATTTCGACATGGCCCCCTACATTCACTATATACATTATAAATTATTACTGAGGAAATCCAACACCATTGCAAGGAACCAAGAGGTCTCCTTGGATGTCGGTTGCATCTCCTCACCTACGGCTATGCAAACAAACATCAACGGGCAAGTGAATGCTCATTGCAAATGCTCCCATCTGGAAAGGACATTGAACATGCCACGCCACTCGTGATGTATCGATCCCGACACAACAATTCCCAAAAACATCCCAACATGTTTGAATTCTGGTTCACGAGAACATTGCAGACAGTATATACGTATTGTCTTGAACGTAACTAGTTCAACGCAGTATGATGACACACACACACACACACACGCACACGTGCAAAGCAGTTGCATGTGTGTGTGTGTGTGTGTGTGTGCGTGGGTGCATGTCCTGCAATGTTGGTGGTTTCTCCAGTGGATTTTCAGATTTCACAGGCTTCTCCTTACACATCAGCTTCAACGAGCCCTTTTTCGGGATTTTCGGAATGGGCTCCGGACTGGCAAACGTCGGCTAAGCATATACCGTGTTTTGGGGAAGCCAAAGGCCTGGCCACGGCCCAAAGCGCTGATGGTAAGACAGCCATCAACCCGAGAAAGTTGGACGGTGTCTACAACAAGAAGAGGGGGGGTTGTCTCCGCAGTTTCACGATCCAACTGGCCGCATTTCACAAAGGTCCTGATAGCGCTCAAATTGGACTGAGAACATTTGGGGGTTCTTGGGGCCAACAAAAAACCCCCCGCTTCAAGGACCCATCGATGGGGGTTGCGACCCATCGCTTGACCCATCGCTCGACCCAGCGGATCGGCCTGGCACTTTGAGGCGCTGCGCGCTTTCGCGCATCGAGTCCTCCTCGAACATCTCGCAGAGCACTGGCACGGAGCCCTCGAAGAGGGGCAGCCAGGTGCACCTGGCCATAAAGGAGCCATGAATAACACGACCATGTGACAAAACAGCTCATGCTTGACACGGCACCGGAAGCCCAGCAAAAAAACAATGCTGATCACCCTAATACCCTGACTGCTCATACGCCAGCGTGAATGCCGTGACCCCATACCTAACCGAGACCAGAAGGGGTGAAATCCGGTGAGAAAAAGGGCGGGGGGGGGCACCTCTTTTTTGGCTTTGAACGGACACCCCTTCCAGCAGAAAGGGGAAGAAGGGCACCCTTGGAGTTGTGGGATTGCGTTTGGGGCAAAAAGGCGAAGCAACAAACAACTCATGGACACAATGACCAAAAGCAATACGCATGGACACAAAACCAAGATGCAACTCTCCCAAATCAAACTGTGGTCTATACAATCAGCACACACACACACACAACCGCGCGCGCACACACACACGCAAGCAAACTAGCACGCACGCACACACACACGCACGCACGCACGCACGCACGCACGCACGCACGCACGCACGCACAACAAACAAACAAACAAACAAACAAACAAACAAACAAACAAACAAACAAACAAACAAACAAACAAACAAACAAACAAACAAACAACAACCACACACACACACCCACACACACACACACCCACACCCACACACCCACACACCCACCCACCCACCCACCCACCCACCCACGCACGCACGCACGCACGCACAGACACCGACACCGACACCGACACAGACACAGACACAGACACAGACACAGACACAGACACAGACACAGACACAGACACAGACACAGACACAGACACAGACACAGACACACACACACGCACACACAAACACAAACACAGACACAGACACAGACACAGACACAGACACAGACACAGACACAGACACAGACACAGACACAGACACAGACACAGACACAGACACAGACACAGACACAGACACAGACACAGACACAGACACAGACACAGACACAGACACAGACACACACACGCACACGCACACGCACGCACGCACGCACGCACGCACGCACGCACGCACGCACGCACGCACGCACGCACGCACGCACGCACGCACGCACGCACACGCACGCACGCACGCACGCACGCACGCACGCACGCACGCACGCACGCACGCACGCACGCACGCACGCACGCACGCACGCACGCACGCACGCACGCACGCAGCACGCACGCACGCACGCACGCACGCACGCACGCACGCACGCACGCACGCACGCACGCACGCACGCACGCACGCACGCACGCACGCACGCACGCACGCACGCACGCACGCACGCACGCACGCACGCACGCACACGCACGCACGCACGCACGCACGCACGCACGCACGCACGCACGCACGCACGCACGCACGCACGCACGCACGCACGCACACACACACACACACACACACACACACACACACACACACACACACACACACACACACAGCACAACGCACGCACGCACGCACGCACGCACGCACGCACGCACGCACGCACGCGCACGCACGCACGCACGCACGCACGCACGCACGCACGCACGCACGCACGCACGCACGCACGCACGCACGCACGCACGCACGCACGCACGCACGCACGCACGCACGCACGCACGACGCACGCACGCACGCACGCACGCACGCACGCACGCACGCACGCACGCACGCACGCACGCACGCACGCACGCACGCACGCACGCACGCACGCACGCACGCACGCACGCACGCACGCACGCACGCACGCACGCACCCACACAGACACAGACACAGACACAGACACAGACACAGACACAGACACACACACACAGACACAGACACAGACACAGACACAGACACACACAGACACACACAGACACAGACACAGACACAGACACACACAGACACAGACACAGACACAGACACAGACACAGACACAGACACACACAGACACACACAGACACACACACAGACACACACAGACACACACAGACAAACACAGACACACACACACACAGACACACAGACACAGACACAGACACAGACACACACAGACATACACAGAAACAAACAAACAAACAAACAAACAAACAAACAAACAAACAAACAAACAAACAAACAAGCACACAAACACAAGAGCACACAAACACACACACGAACACGCCAGCCAAAGAAAGAAAGAAAGAAAGAAAGACAGAAAGAAAGAAAGCAAGAAAGAAAGATAGTATGCAAGAAAGAAGGAATGAAAGTTAGAAAGAAATAAAGAAACAAAGAAAGAAAGAATGAAAGAACGAAATAACAAAAGAAAGAAAGACAGAAATAAAGACAAAAATAAATAAAGAAAGAACAAAAAAAGAAATACAGACAGAAATAAACAAAGAAATAAACAAGTAAAACAAACTAAAGACAAATATAAAGAAAGAAATAAACACACAAAGCCCAAACAAACAAGCAAGGAAAAGCAAGGAAAAGCAAGGAAAAGCAAGGAAAAGCAAAGCAAAGCAAACGAGCAAACAAGCAAGCAAACAAGCAAACAAACAAACAAACAAACAAACAAACAAACAAACAAACACACACAAGGACAAACACAAACACATCCAACACGATTTGCTGTCAACAACATCTTACCATGCAGTATATCCGACAACAATATCTGCATAAGGTTAAGAAAACCCAGGAACCCATGAGGCCTGGTCGGGCTGGGTGTATCTATCAACGACTCAACATCTATGGCGTAAACAATACGCGGACAACATCTTCTTGGCCTTTCTTGGGGCAACCCAGTGCCCTTCTTCAGTTAAGCGGGCAGCACCCAACACCAACCGACATTTAGTACCTTTTGGTGCCCCAAAGCCTCAACGATGAGGCAGTTGTTTCCCATTTAAACGCTTTCAAACAAGGGTACTGTGCTCAATAAATCAGCTTTGTTACAGTTAGATGGCGGGCCTGACCTTTCTTGCCGCCGTGGTAAGAAAGACTTGGTGAGGACAAGGAAGAGAACACCCCTACGAAGAGGCATGGATTCCAATAGG